AGCACATATAGGCGATCGGCGGGCTATGGACCCGCTGATCGCCTATATGTGAAACACCCTGTACCGGGTGTTCGCATGGGACGGGTCTTTTCTGCCCGTGCGTGCACGCTAGGTGGCGCGCGCGAGCAGAAAAAAAATGCCGTCTGGCGACGGCAACCCGCCAATGCGACAGTGCCGTCCGTCCGTTTTTCTACTACGGGCGGACGGCAAGAGGTTAAAGTTAACCTTTAGGTAACGACATGGTACACGATGCCAAACTATAATGCTGGCATAGAGCAGGACCTACCCAGTCCTTTAAATGTAGCCCTTGTATACCCTTAATCCAGTCATGCAACAAAATGCCCGAAATGCTACGTTGCTATAATGAGCAAGTTTCAACACTTCACGGTAGCAATTAGTACAGGCTAACCACCTCCCACACGTTCACATTTTAGTTACTGATTACAGGAAAGTATATAGTGGCAACAATTCACACAGTGCTTTACATACTGCACATTCACATCAATCCCTGCCCCCAAGGAGTTTACAATCTAAGGCCCTTACTTATAAGCATACTAGCGCTGATTTAGTCAGGTGTTAGTTAACCTACCAGCATGTCTTTGCAGTGTGGGAAGAAACAGGGGGAGCATGCATACTTCATGTAGGTAGTAACCTGTGCAGGATTCAAACTGGGGAGAACCACTAGGCAGAAGTGCTGACCGCTAGGCCACCATGCTGTCACATCAGCCTACTATTGGACTGTCACTATGAGGGTGGTCCTTACTGGGCATTAGAAACATGTAGGTTGAGAGAAGGGGCTTACCAGCACCTGATATTACCTGGAAGTTACAAAACCAACTTGTTACATTACATATATGTGTAATTTTAAATTTCACTATCAAAAGACTTACATATCTGTCGTCGCATATTCTGGTGCCCGCATGCGCGTTCCATCCTTGAGTCTTTGGCAGAACTCTTCATTGATTTGTACACCAGGATAAGGGGAGGCACCTGGGGGCACAGCATGAAAACTTTACCTCTTGTGTGGTGTGCACTGTTCAGCTATGTTAGCTTTTTCAGCTTTTTTTTTAGCTTTTAACAGTTTTCATTGCTTACCAAGCGAGAAGATTTCCCAGAGCAGCACTCCAAAGGACCAGACATCACTCTGTGTTGTGTAAACCTTATCGAAAATACTTTCTGGTGCCATCCACTTCAGGGGTAAACGTGCCTGGAAGGTATTGTAATGAATTAGCATGTTAGCCAGTCAGTCTCTTGGAGTATTACATTTACGTTTCAGATTTTTCATGACATTTATGATTTTACATGTAATTAGGAATTTATAATAATGTCATTATCATTCAAAGCTATGGTGGTTCTTTAAGAGACACTATAGTCTTTTTTTTAATTCTATAGCCTTTTTTAAAGTTGTGTTCATTTGAAAGTGAATGCGATGGCAGGCATATAAGATACAAATTAATGTAGCTCTGTAATCAATAATACACAAATACATGTTTTTTTTAATGCAAGCAGTGTAGGTATTTGAATTTGAGTTAGTATCAGCTGCCTGCAGTTCCTGTATAGCAGAAAATGGCAGAAAAAGGGAAAAGGGGGTGTGGGCAGGGGGGAGGGGAGTCAATCAGAATTGTTATAGTGCATGGCGCATGCTGTTAAGAGCAAAGAGCAGAGATATGAGCTCATCAGTCTGATGCTTCTTTCACTGTCCAGTCACAAGATGGGGTTGGAGAGGAGACCTTTAAAAAAAGTAAAACTGCAGCACAGATAGATTGGGTTTACTTCCCTGCTCTATTGGGCTGTGCTGTGTGGCAGAGTGTGCAAATCTGAAGACTGGATGGGTATAATGGGCTCTTATATTTGTATTTCAGCTCTAATATATGTATATATATCTAGCTTTATCTGTTTATCTGGAGTTTAGCTTTAAAAGTAACTTGCAGTGACAGAAATATGTGAGCAACTAATGCTATCTTTACTCTTGAAAACATTTCAATGTATTTCTGTTTATACTGTAAAAGGTGACCTTTGCCATTACACTTTCTATCCCATTTAAAGGTACCTTTGCATAAATCTCCAGGTAATCCAGTAAGGATGATGATAACATTTTATCCAGGCAGAATAAACACAGTCTGGAAATCAGCAATGCATAGATAGCAGCTGTGAAAACTCTGTGTAAAAATTAAGTCTGATTTCCATTCTGTGTTTATTCTTTATGGGTACAATGTCATCATTAACTTACTGGATTGGCTGGAGGTAGAGCTGTGTCATGAAAGAAGTAGAAATAAAGAACTAACAATAGCCTCTATGCACAGGTACTTTGAGATGGGGAAACAAGAGGGACAGCACAGAGAAAACCATGCCTATTTATTTAGAGGTACACATGAAACCCTTCTATAATTTAAAATAGTAAGACCTTACTTTCTGACATTACTGGGCTATAATGGTTACTTCAGCTCTATGTAGGCTGGAGGAGATATACATATTTTTTTTTAGTTAATACTTCACTGTCTAATTTTAACCCCAACAACATCTAATCCAACAGAAGATTATGTGTCATTGAAAAAAAGAATAAAACAAAGGTACTACAGCTGTAAAAGGTTGGGACCTCGAGGTGAGACCTGCAGCAAACCCAAAACCTTTCAGTTAGGGCCAAATGTCAAGTCATGTGAGACAATGTTTCAACACTTTGCAGTATTGATGGAGCCTCTCGCAACCTATGCCCCCCTACCTTTTTACTATTGGCCCATCATTGAAAAAATGAACCAGTATTCAAAGATTTCATTTATTAAAATGGACCTGCATACTTTGGTTTCTATGTATATTAAATTTGATATAGATTACTGAATAATAGCGCTCTTTTGATAGTGGGGTGCTCATATCATTGACTTTTAGAAGCAATGGCACATGATAGGTAAAATATATTCCACATATAAATTACTCTAGGCATCAGGACGAATGGTTTGTTTTAGTCATTAAATCAAATTGAATACGAATGGGATAATTCTAAAGGGTATAACTAACCTTGTCATTAAATATAGAATGAATCAATCATGATGTTCCTGATATATAATTGTTGTATCCTTCACCCTCCCAGCAGCTCCAGGTTATGGTTAGTATGACTAAATAAATGCTTAATGACCTCTAATTGTGATGTGATGCCAGTTAGATAAAATACAGCATGGATATATTGTAACATTTTGATTAATGACCCTTATAGATAGCTTTTTGCTGAGAACAACGTTTGGCCTGTAATACAAGACATACTGTATACATCTGTAACATATTCCTTCTGTGTCCTGGGAACTTTGTTAAAGTTCACAAAAAACTTTGAGATTGGACATCTGTGAGCCGACTTTGAAATCCAGTACTGATCACTTTCTACAATCAAGTCATTAGAGGTAATCAGGAACCTGACTGCTTTAATCTTGGCGTAGATTTATTACCGCACCTTTCACCAGCTTATACAGAGTCAACCAAGACTGTTTGAAGGCCTGAAATGACCCAGATTCCTTGTATAAATGTTTGGAGGTGGTTGTAAATACTGCTAACATTTCTTCTTGGTCTTCTTAGGTTAAAATACTTACTGCTTGTTCTAATAGGGAAAACTTTGCTCCATGCTCCTTTAAATACCCCTGACATGTGTATATGCCTTAGCTTACTCATATTCTTGTTGAAGGGAAGTATGAGAGTCATATTGACTGATCTTTCCCTTCTATATCCCTTCTATATCGGTCCCAAGAACAAGTGCCTAGGCCTGAAGAGAGCCTAGAGCAGTATTTTCATTCCAGCCCTTCAATTTCTCTTTATGCAACTATACCAGCATGATTGTTATTAAAACAAAAGAAAAACTGTAGGGTTATTCACAAAAGGATGAAGAGTTTGGAGAAGGCAGGAGAAGTGAACAATCTAGGACAACATAGCTGAACTGGAAAGTGAGCTGAATTGGAGACTTTTTTCAAATCAGCTATTTTCGCCTATATTGTTCACTTCTCCTGCCTTCTCTAAACTCTTTACACTTTAGTAAATAAATCTGTGGGGTTGATTTACTAACCTTATAAACACACCACGAACGTGTATACACCTCTGCAGTGTGTTCCCTCCCAGCATGATCTATGGGTGGAATCTAAACACCTTTGTAATGTGTACACACCCAGCAGGTGTGTTGTGCAAAGCCCTGAATGAATTCCAAGGTGATGTTGGGTAAATTAGCTCTATGTTGTGTTGCTTGCGTTGATGAATGCAAGGAATGTAAATGCATGAGCTAACCATTTTTGTCTAAACTGTGAAGCAGCATTATATATGCATCATGTGCATGATTTTTCCATATATGGCATTAGTGGAAATATGCTTTTAGAGACTTTTTGGTTGATAAATACGTTTTGCTGTGTGAAAATCACACACACCTGGTGTGTGTGTGTGTTTAGGTGAGTAAATCACCACCTGTGTGTCTTTAAAATAAAGGTAAGAGGGTATCTTTCCAGAGTGAGGGGACATCTCCTCTTAGTTGTCACCAGGACTAGTGTTTACATTGGAAGATTTCCCCTTGCTCCTGTTCCAGTGACAACTGTAAAATGGGAACTTCCCACCACTTCCTGTCCCAGAGACGATGGTCACCAGGACAAATAGATGGTGAATCTGGCAGCAATAAAAACCTATTATATACAATTTGTGTTTAAATGAGCGTGTTTTTCAGACAAAAATATTACGGTGTGGTGCTTCAATTCTAGATTTACTTATCTCCATCACAATCCAAGGTTATTGTGGAAATCTTAGAATCTGCCAGCCTAATATTTATGTTCTCCATAGTCATATCATCATCATACTGTTGGACCGCAAAACTAACATTCAACCAAACTTAAGGGTTAACCACGTTAAGGGTTAACTTAACCATTAACCCACTCTCTCATGCAATAGCAACCTTACAGGGGTTTAACTCCTTGCCCCCACATCACTCAGAAGTAAAATTGAATGTTTTGGCTGTAGATACACATTAAGGGGCATACAGGTATTTATAAAGTAGTGAATGTGACATTCACCAAATATTCTCAAATCTTCCTGCTGCATGTGTTTTAAAATAGAGTGAAGTATGAACCACCTGTGAATGTTTGGTAAATGTTATACTCCCTACTTTAAAAATATGTCCCTAAGTGTTATAAAGGCCAAACAAATAGAGCAAATTACACATTTGGTGTCAGTAATAATATCCAGTATAAACTGTCTTTTGTGTGATTCTGGTTCTCTAGCTAAATATTCAGAAGACTTATGTTAAACCCAAAAAGAGTTTCTGTCATTAAAGACCAGTAAATCTAAGATGACATTGCCTCATCTACTAGCATTTAGAGAGTTATCATGAATGCCTTCCCAGAATTTGGGTTAGGTCAATAGTAGGTTAATATTTCGTAATACATAAAAACACATCGGCCATAACCTTTTGCATCAATATGTCAGTGCAAAAAACAATAACAAAAAATGTGTTGCAGTTTTTCCTTATTATCAGCAAACAGGCAACTTGAGCATGGGATGGTGAATGATAGGATTTAGGTGGATGGATTCAAAGCTGCAGATAATTTTAACAAACGTGTTCTTTTGTTATCGTATACCTCCTTTGAGCTTTATTTGCATGACAATATATAAAAATTACCAAATGGTACTTTTGCCTATTGGAAAAGGGTATGATATAGGCTGGATTCCCCCTTTAAGCAAAGCCTTTTTAAGGAGAAAATATGGAGGCTGCCCTCTTCCTGTCTATGATATTTGCCTGGTTCTCATACGGTTAGTTATAAGGTTTTACTTTTTTTAAATAAACCTGTCCCAAAATCCAGAAAATTTCAGATGAGCAAATAATACAAAATAAATAGAAGCAGATGTTACCTTTAGTGAAAATTGTCAAAATGATCAATAGATGTAGTCAATAGATAGGTACAGTTATATGTTAATCTTGATTTTTCCTATAAAACGTGAGCTTGGTCTTCACCTCTAAGCCTTCCTATTGCTCACGCTAATTATGGGCTGCTTCAATGGCCGATACAGGGGCTTAGGAAGTTGAGAAACAGACCAAGCCAAATATTTACAGGAAAAGTGTGCCTTACTTTAGCTGCCCATATTTTTTCAACCTATGCTCAGTCAGACTTTCCAAGGTTTATGAGCGTTTTAAGATAAAGTGAGATAAACATGGAACTGCCAGAGCAGAGCTGGTTCTGAAGATGCTGGTTGCGTAGCTATTACATTGACCCTCTAAAATCACTATTTTCTGGGTTACTAAGTTTGGAAACAATGAAATGCAAAGTAGAGTCTGAACTTTTTATCTGCATAAGGTCAGGATGGCAACCAGGCAACTTGCATTTCCACAATTAGAAAAAGCAAGGGAGTGTACATGTTTCTCTAAAGGTTTTTACTAACTGACTTGCAGTAAGTCATGTCAGAGGAAAGTCTAAACCAAATTTACATTCCAGGCAAGTGACTTAGGGGTCTATTCACTAAGCTGCCGTAGGCAGCCGAGTGAATGACCGACCTGAAGCGAAGTGAGCCGAATGCTATTCGGCTATTCACTTCAGGCTGGTACAGCTGAATTCAGCCATATATCGGCTGAAATCAGCCGTACATCGGGTGGTTTCGCGTGGCTTCGGGTCGAAGTGCAGAAGGAGTTCGATTCAGCCGATCCAACATCTGGATCAGCTAAGCCGGTCTATTCTTATAGATGCCGAACAGCAGCGAGTGAATAGCCGAATGCCGCTGAGCGGCATTCAGCTCGGCTGTTCTGCTCGGTCCCTCTGTGGGACCGAGCAGATCAGAAAAATAGTTAAAAAAGTACAAAAAAATAAATATAAAATGATTGTGACAGCTAGCAGTGACAGCTAGCTCCGCCCAACTGTTTTCTATTGGTTCTGCTGCTGTCAAAAAAAATAAAAATATTTTTTTGTTATAGGAAGCATATGCCTTCGGCTCGACTGAGCGGCTCGGCCGACTTCGGGAGCTGTACGGGCTATAGTGAATAGCCCCTACAGCAGCCCTTCGGTTCGACTGAACCAAAGGGGTCCTGGGGCCTAAGCGAGCCGAAGGATAAGCCAAAGCTATGGCTAGATCCTTCGGCTTCTTCCTGAATAGACCCTTTAGATAGGGCTGAACTCGAAGAATCCTTGACAGCCAGCAAAATTGTGTTTTTAAAACGGGAGGTCAAGAAGCTCAGCCCTCTAATTCTCTTAACATAACTTTCCAGAAACAAACATTTCTGTTTAACTGATTTAGATGTCATAATTTTCTTACTCATAATACTTACACTTCCTTTCCTGACATAATCAGGATCTTTATAAATATCTCTGGCCAGACCAAAGTCACAGATTTTTACAACATTATTCTCCGATAAGAGTATGTTCCTGGCAGCCAAATCTCTGTGGATGCACTGCAAGAAAAGAAACAAAGCTTACCTTAGCAACTAAAAATTAGTTATACTTCATAGTTGTACCTAGTATTTCTAAAAAGATACAAAAGAAATGTATGGACATGTTGATGTCTCCTGATCCAGACCCCTCTGCATACTATGTCAGCAGTTCCCATGAACCCGCTACTTTTAATGGATCTTGTTCCCAAGCTGCAAAGTTGTTAAGTGATATACGAATCCTTCCAGATTTTCCTTCCAGCTGATTTTGATCCTGAAATCTATTTGTCAGGGCACACTATTTCTATATCTGGTGGCCTTGAAGTAAACTGGGAAAGTGGTCTATCATTCAGACCAGAGGCGTTGGCGCTGTGCTAGCCATTTTTTCCAGCGCAGCCCCAATGCAGGACAAGGCCATTTGCCTTGTCACAGATGGGCACCATTCACACCACCACGTTGCAGTGGAAGGCGGTGGTGTCGCTGAACAAAAGTACGGCACGCAGTACTTTTTTTCAGTGCAGCGGGATGCATTGGATTACAACTGCCTTGCACCCCACTGTGCCTGTAAAACTGAAAGGAATGCCACTTATGACAATGTGAATAAAAAAAGTACACAGTGGAACAGAGGGGTCCGCAGGCAGGGTGTCATCAAGTGCGGCCGCCAGGTGTCACCCAATGCGATGTCAATACACTCACGCATGACATAATCACACATGCACAATGACGTAACATGCACTAAACTGCCAGTGGTCATCTCGGTGATAGATGCAAGGAGAGAGAGGAGGGGACTTTCATCCAGCGGAATAAGGAATGCCGCCGGGTCCCCTCCTCTCTCATACAGCTGTCGGGCACTCTGCTCATGACCAAGTACCGGACTTTTTATAGGGGGGGACACCCAAATGACTACCGCACCGGGTTGCACTCCCCTTGTGATGCCACTGTAGTGCCAGGACTTGTGCATAAACAATGTGTTTGTGATTTGTGTCTGTGTGATTTAGTGCAACGGCTGGTGTGAATGGGCCCTAACACTGTCAGGCATTTACAGTAAGTAATAGAACAGATTGCAGTAACAAATAGCAGCCAATCTAAATTCTACTTTCAGCAATTTGATTTAGAAAATGAACATCTTATTGTCAGTGCTGGAATCCTGCTCTTTTCACTTAATTCATATTACAAACATTCAAGGAAAGTTATTAGACCAGGGATGGCCAAACTCCGGCCCTCCAGCTGTGGTGAAACTACAAATCCCATGAAGCATCTCTCTCTGGGAATCATGTCTGTGGCTGTGAGAATCTTGCAAAGCCTCATGGGATTCGTAGTTCCATCACAGCTGGAGGGCCGCAGTTTGGCCATCCCTGTATTAGCCCAAACTAGGATATGACTACATGGTCTACTGAAATTTGTCCACAAGATGTCACCATTGCGATTTAAAAGGATGTTTTTTCATTCTAAACCGACTTGTTTAAATAACACTAGAATTTAGGGAAAAAAAGATCTTTATCTTCCAGTTATGTAATTCTAGAAAGATAGATTTCTACAGATACCTTCATTAGAATAAATGTACTATTCTAGACAAACCTTTCCCTGAATTCCCTGATGCAGAATGAGTTCATCCAAGGACAGGAAAAAAACAGTATCTGCCTAGACATTAAAATTAGTATATTAGTTTGATAATCTGTATGGACTTCCCTTTTAAACTAGTTAACATAAAAAAAAGAAATATCTTTGGAAACAGCCTGCAGAGGTTATCTGGGGGGAATGACTATAAAATGCATGGCTGATATCTCATTAAGCCAAACATTGGTGGTGCCAAAGAAACAAAATATAGACATTTTCTGAAAGGAAAAAGTTTAGGAAATTGTACTAACTCTGTAAATACAAAAGATATTGGTGTGTGCCCGTAAAGTCACAATTGTTAAATTAATTGCCAGAATGAAGAATGCATTTAATAGAGGCACCTGTGCACTACAATTTTTATCTCCGGATTTGGCAGACTCACACGTTCTTTGTGATCTGAGACTGCATTTATCACGGTCATTATTAGTTTAGAGCATGAAATAGCTTCTGACTGAGTATTCTGTTAGATCCAAATGAAAGAACATCTAATAGGATTGTGATAGCAATTTGTGTACTTATAGGAGGGGAGAAAAAACAGAAAATTGTATACTTACCTAATGGTAATTTTCCTTTCCTGATGCCAATACATGGCAGCATGCCATACCCATTGTATGCTGTCATGTAGGTGTCAGGAAAGCATAATTAAATGCAGCATGGTTTGCATCCTATATACTGTATACTGTATATACCGTAGATGTTCTTCTGTAGATGCAGAAGGGTTGGGTTATATTTGGAAGGGGATTTACAGTATCTTTATTCCTGCTGAAATTCCACCTAACTTGACCATATTTGCCAAATTCTGGGTCCAAACTCACCATTTTTGGAACCAAAACAGGGAGGGTTTGGAGGAATGCCTCCACAATATCATTTAATTCATTTTTAAAAATATATCCTTAGGCCCAGTTGTGTCTTTGACTCATTTATTTATTTTGCTAATGAGCTATATTGTGGTTGGATCGGCAATACCAAAGCCTTTATTAAAATCCAGCACTTGGGCATCTCATCTTTTAAATTCCTCAACATTTATACCAAGTGGACATAAAAGTGATGGAGATGTCTACTTCTAAAAAGCTGAATAACCAAAGTTAATAGACATGTGCGATTCGTTTCGGATTCGGATGTATCCGAATTTCCGAATAACAGAAATGACGAATGAAAATTAATCCAAATTTCCAAAAACGAGATTTCGGACCAAATTCGTTAGCGGTAGTCTGTACAAATTTTCGTTTGTGGACACATTTTCGCGGCAGCAAAGTGACATTTAAAAAAAATAAATTTCGTACAGACTACCGCTAACGAATTTCATCCGAACCCGAATCCCGAAAAACAAAATAATGTAAAATCCGAATCAAAACGAAACAATTTTTTTGCCGGTACACATGTCTACAAGTTAATACAATAGTTTTTTTCCCCAGCCTTTAAAGCTTTAGGTCCATTACCTTTCTGGACGACAAGAATTCCATACCACGGGCCACTTGGAAACTGTAGCAAATCAGATCTTCCATGGTCAGTGGACAATGCCACAAATCTTTCACTGCATAAAAACACATTTAGAAACAGTTGTGGATTAGTCTGGAATATAGCTTTTTTTTGCCTATTGTATGTGTCATTAATATAACATGTAGAGCATGTGATACCTGCTATGTACCCCTGCCCCCTTTTATCTGATCCTCCTAGAATTGTAAGTGTTAAAAGAGAACTATGGGGTAACCTTTTAATCCCATAGTGACCTTTAGGGTCACGGGAGGGCATATACAAACGTCCTCCCATGACCCAAAGCTCAGTTTATAGCGAGCTATATACTGAGAGCGCCACAGCCGGGACAGATCCTGACAATACTGTTGAGATCCATTGAGCTGGCTGATTGACAGCAGGCTCTGCCTAACTAGAGGCATAGCCAGCTGTGCCCGCCCCTCCCCCGTCTGTTCCTCCAGTCAACAATCACCGATCTCTGCAGGGAGATGATTGGGAAGTCAGCGAGCTACGGTATGTGTTCACTCACTTCCTGATCAATAGAGCTGACGTGTGACAGTTTCATTGTCACACATCAGCTCTAACTATGAGGATGAGTGTAAATCACTCCCCTCATAGTTCTCATTTAATGTTCGATAACTTAATCTTAGGCTCTGTTCACACCTAGGCGTATCGAATATGCGCGTTTGTCGCGCATTTCGTAACACGCGTTTTTACCACGATTCGCTGTAAAAAAACGTGCGACAAACGCGCGTTTCCGAGGGCGTCTTGGCTGCATCCCAACAGAAACGCGGAACAAAAACGCTGCAAAGAAGCTCATGTACCTTTTCAGGCGTAGGCCGTTTTGTAGCGCGTTCAGACGGGCTGAAATACGGCAAGGTGTGAATCATACCCATAGAAAACAATGGGATTTTCATGTTTGATCGTTTTGTAGAGCGTTTGTCGACCGTTGAACGTGCTACAAAACGTTCAGGTGTTAACCAGGCCTTAGTGTATGACTGAAGTTACTTACAACAAACCAAGTTTGTTGTAAGTTGTCATGTCAGTGTAAGAAGTGCAGGGAGAATTCTGTTTGATCTGGGCTCTTCCATGGGACCATGTATGAACTAGTCTCCTCCATGGCACTATTGCAGAGGAACTCCTGTGGTAAGATGTAGGTATAGTAAGAAGAATGACTGAATGGTCCCCTAAAAGGCAGTTGTCATTTTTGCCTCTACCTATGCCCAGTTCTGGCAGCTAGGCCTTACTGGTAGATGTGATATCATTAAAGTGAGGAAATCTCTAGAAAAATTACCCCAAATTTCCTTGATATATGCTTACATTTAAATTCTTTCCCAACCATGAGAAATAATTGTTTTCAAACAGGCAAACCCTGCTGTTCTTCCAGCCAACAACAGTGAAGTAACCCAACCCATTTCAAACTCCATGCCCTGGTCTTTAGACGTGTTGTTTCACTTCTTACACTCTGGGTTCCTTTGACTCTGATTTTTGGTCATCAGCATCCTACCAAAAACGACTCCTTCATTGACTCCTTCTCTACTTATCCTGTCAGCTATTACAGCCTCCACCATTGAGCGGACCTGACTGCGTGTCCGTGGTGATCTCTCCTGCAAAGTATACAAGGATAGTAAGGATGAGGATAACAGTTTGTTAAACATATTGCACAGATTGAATGATAAAGTAAAAAGATAATCTTGGACATTATGGGAAGATGTGCTGAAAGCAACCAGAAAGCTCATCATGAAAAGTATAAGGTACAGCAATGGTGTTCACATTTCAGTTGTATAGAAAGTATTCATCTGTCTTTGTTTTCTTACAAATTCTGTCACAACTTGCAGCATCCTACACTGAGGATTTCATCTTTAGTTAGATACAAAGGTTCTGCACAAGGCACGCTTGGGAGAGGTAATGTTTCTAATAGCAGAACTGGGAGTAGTTGTGTGCATATAGTAGCTGAACTCTCACACTTTCCATCTCTAAATGCAGTGGCACGTCTTTGAATGTGTATAACTGACTTGGAGCAATTTCTTTATACCTTAATGTGGTAATAAGTAGGGATGCACCGATACTAAGTACCATACTCTGTAAAAGTACAAGTACAGATACTTTTTGAGCTCCAAGACTAGACTTGAGAAAAATTAAAAAGTTAGGAGGCAGCTGTCATTTGTAAGGAGCACACGGAGCTCCAGGGATTTGCACATCTCTGTTTTAATGTATGATTTTGTTTATATAAATATAAATAAAGGGTTGCACCGATACCATTTTTGCAAGTACAAGTACTGATACTTGCCCAAGTACTTACAAGTACTGATACATTTTTGTTTATTGTCATGTGACAGTTTTTCTAAAACAATACAGACTAATGATTTCCGGACAGTGATGGGGCGCTAGAGCCAGGTCCCAGCTGCAACCACTGCAACCCTTTTAGTTCTCATGAAAATACCAAGTATCGGCACTGGTACTCGAAAAGTATCGATGCATCCCTAGTAATAAGGAACCAGAAGGAGGATGTTGCATTGATATACAAATTAAATTATTTTTCGTACCCTAAATTGCATTGTGTTTGTTGCAGAGAACTTTGCTCTTTTTCAATGCAGCATGTTCTATTTTCACCCAGAGCACATCAACACAACAGTGCCTTGGTGTTAACTGGGCCTACTGGAAACAATGGATTTCAGCTTGTTATTGGATTGGGCCTGCGTTAGGCACAGCCCAATAGAGTGAATGGGCCCTCAGCTAACATGAAATAATATTTTTTTAACTAAAAATATAAAACAAAACATGCATTTTAAAATACCAAAAACAGTGCTACATCTTATTTCTTAACCATAGATCTCCTTTAACATTTTGCCATCACTTGGGTATTGCTGTTAATAAATTACTGGTGACAAGGTATACAACCTCTTGTGGAAGAGGAATAGGATCTTAAATATTTTTTAAAACTTCCCATGCCAGCTAGTAACTTATTTTGCATTTCCTGAATGGAAAACAGATGCAATGAACAATGTAATGGATGACAAGAAAGACAGGCCAAGTGGGAGTGTGTGTGTTAGGGTCAACTTACTTGATAAGGAATAAATCCATCTCTCTTGGTCCTTAGATAGTTGGACAAATTGCCGTACTTGCAAAATTCTACAATGACCATCAGTGGCCCTGAAATTTACAAAGAATATTGTTATAATGATTGAATAATCAGATGCTTAGACATAAAGAGGCATATGAGATGTATGCAAAGAGGAATTATTATGTGAAAAGTGCAATAGGAACAATGAAAAATGACTGCTGCTTACTTTTTGTAGGTTACTTAACCTTACACACTGCTTATTTCCTTAATAAATCAACCCAAAAAGGGTACTATTGTGAAACAATTTGCTGAATCAGTTCTTCTAGTCTAGACAACAGTCATTTCCTTGAAGTCCTTCATACAAATGTGTGCTGATATTTTTGAGTGGTTATTTCCTCTTCAAAAATATTGTGAAGGGAGATAAAGGTGCCATCACTGGTTTCTCCTGAAAATATAATTCTGCTCCAATGGCTTCACTAATTCCTGGAACAAGTAGGCAGGTCAGACGTTCTGGCTTTACTCTGTCATATTCCTCTCTCTATAAATATCTTTTACCTAAATTCAATTAACTTTATATGGGTCTACTTCAAGGCAATATGAGATAATAATACACAAAAGAGTGGGCTATCCTTTGCTCCAAACAAGGTGCTGATCTTTCTGGTTATAAGAAGTTGTTGCTTGACTACAACATACATTGGTAGTTGAGGTCGTTGTGTGACTATGTTTTGCACTTCTAAAATCCTATCTGAACTCAACCACTGTAATAATGTTTTAGTTATGCATTGGTTGAATATCAGAAAGTTAAAGCTGTAATGGCCCCAATCACCAGGATAAGTGTCACAATCTTAGCAGCTCAACTGCACTATAAAAATCTCAAGAGATTGTCCTGTTTGTCTGTGTCGGAGTAGTGCTAATGTGAGCTGCTACCAAGAAAGATTTTCAGTAGCATGATTGAGTGATCAAATTACCAAGATTGCACAATTCCACAATGTAACCATGTAGCAAATTATTGTTAACTGTATTTAAAGGTCATTTATTTATGTCACGGTATAGCTAATAATAATTAGTCACATATAAGTGAACTTGTTCTGTAATGTTGAAGATGTCTGCCAATTATCCAGATGACTTCTTCAGTTCTAATGAGTGTAAAGGTGCCCATACACTGCACGATTATCGTACGATAATCGTATGCGATCGGGTTTTCGTACGATAATCGAGCAGTGTGAACGGAGACGTGCGACCGTTTCTACTGTACGGTCGCACGTCTTCTGTCGAACCAGCATGTTCGAAAACCAGCCGGGAATCGTACGATTCTCGGCTGGTTAGAACGGTGCTCGGAAGATAAATGCTGAACGGGCCGGTGTGCGCACGCGCACACTGCCCGTTCAGCATTGCGGTCATCGGAAGCCCGCCCCTCAGGGGGGCGGGCTTGCGATGATCGAGAGTGCGATCTGCCTGTCCAAGATAGGCAGATCGTACGTTTTTTTAATCCCTTTACAACCATCGCAAGACTAAAGTCTTGCGATGGTTGTAGAGTGTATGGCCACCTTATTGTGTACTTATAGGAGGGGAGAAAAAACAGAAAATTGTATACTTACCTAATGGTAATTTTCCTTTCCTGATGCCAATACATGGCAGCATGCCATACCCATTGTATGCTGTCATGTAGGTGTCAGGAAAGCATAATTAAATGCAGCATGGTTTGCATCCTATATACTGTATACTGTATATACCGTAGATGTTCTTCTGTAGATGCAGAAGGGTTGGGTTATATTTGGAAGGGGATTTACAGTATCTTTATTCCTGCTGAAATTCCACCTAACTTGACCATATTTGCCAAATTCTGGGTCCAAACTCACCATTTTTGGAACCAAAACAGGGAGGGTTTGGAGGAATGCCTCCACAATATCATTTAATTCATTTTTAAAAATATATCCTTAGGCCCAGTTGTGTCTTTGACTCATTTATTTATTTTGCTAATGAGCTATATTGTGGTTGGATCGGCAATACCAAAGCCTTTATTAAAATCCAGCACTTGGGCATCTCATCTTTTAAATTCCTCAACATTTATACCAAGTGGACATAAAAGTGATGGAGATGTCTACTTCTAAAAAGCTGAATAACCAAAGTTAATAGACATGTGCGATTCGTTTCGGATTCGGATGTATCCGAATTTCCGAATAACAGAAATGACGAATGAAAATTAATCCAAATTTCCAAAAACGAGATTTCGGACCAAATTCGTTAGCGGTAGTCTGTACAAATTTTCGTTTGTGGACACATTTTCGCGGCAGCAAAGTGACATTTAAAAAAAATAAATTTCGTACAGACTACCGCTAACGAATTTCATCCGAACCCGAATCCCGAAAAACAAAATAATGTAAAATCCGAATCAAAACGAAACAATTTTTTTGCCGGTACACATGTCTACAAGTTAATACAATAGTTTTTTTCCCCAGCCTTTAAAGCTTTAGGTCCATTACCTTTCTGGACGACAAGAATTCCATACCACGGGCCACTTGGAAACTGTAGCAAATCAGATCTTCCATGGTCAGTGGACAATGCCACAAATCTTTCACTGCATAAAAACACATTTAGAAACAGTTGTGGATTAGTCTGGAATATAGCTTTTTTTTGCCTATTGTATGTGTCATTAATATAACATGTAGAGCATGTGATACCTGCTATGTACCCCTGCCCCCTTTTATCTGATCCTCCTAGAATTGTAAGTGTTAAAAGAGAACTATGGGGTAACCTTTTAATCCCATAGTGACCTTTAGGGTCACGGGAGGGCATATACAAACGTCCTCCCATGACCCAAAGCTCAGTTTATAGCGAGCTATATACTGAGAGCGCCACAGCCGGGACAGATCCTGACAATACTGTTGAGATCCATTGAGCTGGCTGATTGACAGCAGGCTCTGCCTAACTAGAGGCATAGCCAGCTGTGCCCGCCCCTCCCCCGTCTGTTCCTCCAGTCAACAATCACCGATCTCTGCAGGGAGATGATTGGGAAGTCAGCGAGCTACGGTATGTGTTCACTCACTTCCTGATCAATAGAGCTGACGTGTGACAGTTTCATTGTCACACATCAGCTCTAACTATGAGGATGAGTGTAAATCACTCCCCTCATAGTTCTCATTTAATGTTCGATAACTTAATCTTAGGCTCTGTTCACACCTAGGCGTATCGAATATGCGCGTTTGTCGCGCATTTCGTAACACGCGTTTTTACCACGATTCGCTGTAAAAAAACGTGCGACAAACGCGCGTTTCCGAGGGCGTCTTGGCTGCATCCCAACAGAAACGCGGAACAAAAACGCTGCAAAGAAGCTCATGTACCTTTTCAGGCGTAGGCCGTTTTGTAGCGCGTTCAGACGGGCTGAAATACGGCAAGGTGTGAATCATACCCATAGAAAACAATGGGATTTTCATGTTTGATCGTTTTGTAGAGCGTTTGTCGACCGTTGAACGTGCTACAAAACGTTCAGGTGTTAACCAGGCCTTAGTGTATGACTGAAGTTACTTACAACAAACCAAGTTTGTTGTAAGTTGTCATGTCAGTGTAAGAAGTGCAGGGAGAATTCTGTTTGATCTGGGCTCTTCCATGGGACCATGTATGAACTAGTCTCCTCCATGGCACTATTGCAGAGGAACTCCTGTGGTAAGATGTAGGTATAGTAAGAAGAATGACTGAATGGTCCCCTAAAAGGCAGTTGTCATTTTTGCCTCTACCTATGCCCAGTTCTGGCAGCTAGGCCTTACTGGTAGATGTGATATCATTAAAGTGAGGAAATCTCTAGAAAAATTACCCCAAATTTCCTTGATATATGCTTACATTTAAATTCTTTCCCAACCATGAGAAATAATTGTTTTCAAACAGGCAAACCCTGCTGTTCTTCCAGCCAACAACAGTGAAGTAACCCAACCCATTTCAAACTCCATGCCCTGGTCTTTAGACGTGTTGTTTCACTTCTTACACTCTGGGTTCCTTTGACTCTGATTTTTGGTCATCAGCATCCTACCAAAAACGACTCCTTCATTGACTCCTTCTCTACTTATCCTGTCAGCTATTACAGCCTCCACCATTGAGCGGACCTGACTGCGTGTCCGTGGTGATCTCTCCTGCAAAGTATACAAGGATAGTAAGGATGAGGATAACAGTTTGTTAAACATATTGCACAGATTGAATGATAAAGTAAAAAGATAATCTTGGACATTATGGGAAGATGTGCTGAAAGCAACCAGAAAGCTCATCATGAAAAGTATAAGGTACAGCAATGGTGTTCACATTTCAGTTGTATAGAAAGTATTCATCTGTCTTTGTTTTCTTACAAATTCTGTCACAACTTGCAGCATCCTACACTGAGGATTTCATCTTTAGTTAGATACAAAGGTTCTGCACAAGGCACGCTTGGGAGAGGTAATGTTTCTAATAGCAGAACTGGGAGTAGTTGTGTGCATATAGTAGCTGAACTCTCACACTTTCCATCTCTAAATGCAGTGGCACGTCTTTGAATGTGTATAACTGACTTGGAGCAATTTCTTTATACCTTAATGTGGTAATAAGTAGGGATGCACCGATACTAAGTACCATACTCTGTAAAAGTACAAGTACAGATACTTTTTGAGCTCCAAGACTAGACTTGAGAAAAATTAAAAAGTTAGGAGGCAGCTGTCATTTGTAAGGAGCACACGGAGCTCCAGGGATTTGCACATCTCTGTTTTAATGTATGATTTTGTTTATATAAATATAAATAAAGGGTTGCACCGATACCATTTTTGCAAGTACAAGTACTGATACTTGCCCAAGTACTTACAAGTACTGATACATTTTTGTTTATTGTCATGTGACAGTTTTTCTAAAACAATACAGACTAATGATTTCCGGACAGTGATGGGGCGCTAGAGCCAGGTCCCAGCTGCAACCACTGCAACCCTTTTAGTTCTCATGAAAATACCAAGTATCGGCACTGGTACTCGAAAAGTATCGATGCATCCCTAGTAATAAGGAACCAGAAGGAGGATGTTGCATTGATATACAAATTAAATTATTTTTCGTACCCTAAATTGCATTGTGTTTGTTGCAGAGAACTTTGCTCTTTTTAAATGCAGCATGTTCTATTTTCACCCAGAGCACATCAACACAACAGTGCCTTGGTGTTAACTGGGCCTACTGGAAACAATGGATTTCAGCTTGTTATTGGATTGGGCCTGCGTTAGGCACAGCCCAATAGAGTGAATGGGCCCTCAGCTAACATGAAATAATATTTTTTTAACTAAAAATATAAAACAAAACATGCATTTTAAAATACCAAAAACAGTGCTACATCTTATTTCTTAACCATAGATCTCCTTTAACATTTTGCCATCACTTGGGTATTGCTGTTAATAAATTACTGGTGACAAGGTATACAACCTCTTGTGGAAGAGGAATAGGATCTTAAATATTTTTTAAAACTTCCCATGCCAGCTAGTAACTTATTTTGCATTTCCTGAATGGAAAACAGATGCAATGAACAATGTAATGGATGACAAGAAAGACAGGCCAAGTGGGAGTGTGTGTGTTAGGGTCAACTTACTTGATAAGGAATAAATCCATCTCTCTTGGTCCTTAGATAGTTGGACAAATTGCCGTACTTGCAAAATTCTACAATGACCATCAGTGGCCCTGAAATTTACAAAGAATATTGTTATAATGATTGAATAATCAGATGCTTAGACATAAAGAGGCATATGAGATGTATGCAAAGAGGAATTATTATGTGAAAAGTGCAATAGGAACAATGAAAAATGACTGCTGCTTACTTTTTGTAGGTTACTTAACCTTACACACTGCTTATTTCCTTAATAAATCAACCCAAAAAGGGTACTATTGTGAAACAATTTGCTGAATCAGTTCTTCTAGTCTAGACAACAGTCATTTCCTTGAAGTCCTTCATACAAATGTGTGCTGATATTTTTGAGTGGTTATTTCCTCTTCAAAAATATTGTGAAGGGAGATAAAGGTGCCATCACTGGTTTCTCCTGAAAATATAATTCTGCTCCAATGGCTTCACTAATTCCTGGAACAAGTAGGCAGGTCAGACGTTCTGGCTTTACTCTGTCATATTCCTCTCTCTATAAATATCTTTTACCTAAATTCAATTAACTTTATATGGGTCTACTTCAAGGCAATATGAGATAATAATACACAAAAGAGTGGGCTATCCTTTGCTCCAAACAAGGTGCTGATCTTTCTGGTTATAAGAAGTTGTTGCTTGACTACAACATACATTGGTAGTTGAGGTCGTTGTGTGACTATGTTTTGCACTTCTAAAATCCTATCTGAACTCAACCACTGTAATAATGTTTTAGTTATGCATTGGTTGAATATCAGAAAGTTAAAGCTGTAATGGCCCCAATCACCAGGATAAGTGTCACAATCTTAGCAGCTCAACTGCACTATAAAAATCTCAAGAGATTGTCCTGTTTGTCTGTGTCGGAGTAGTGCTAATGTGAGCTGCTACCAAGAAAGATTTTCAGTAGCATGATTGAGTGATCAAATTACCAAGATTGCACAATTCCACAATGTAACCATGTAGCAAATTATTGTTAACTGTATTTAAAGGTCATTTATTTATGTCACGGTATAGCTAATAATAATTAGTCACATATAAGTGAACTTGTTCTGTAATGTTGAAGATGTCTGCCAATTATCCAGATGACTTCTTCAGTTCTAATGAGTGTAAAGGTGCCCATACACTGCACGATTATCGTACGATAATCGTATGCGATCGGGTTTTCGTACGATAATCGAGCAGTGTGAACGGAGACGTGCGACCGTTTCTACTGTACGGTCGCACGTCTTCTGTCGAACCAGCATGTTCGAAAACCAGCCGGGAATCGTACGATTCTCGGCTGGTTAGAACGGTGCTCGGAAGATAAATGCTGAACGGGCCGGTGTGCGCACGCGCACACTGCCCGTTCAGCATTGCGGTCATCGGAAGCCCGCCCCTCAGGAGGGCGGGCTTGCGATGATCGAGAGTGCGATCTGCCTGTCCAAGATAGGCAGATCGTAGGTTTTTTTAATCCCTTTACAACCATCGCAAGACTAAAGTCTTGCGATGGTTGTAGAGTGTATGGCCACCTTAAGGGACATACCTCAGCATATATAGCCATGCAGGTAACTTAGTCATCTTAATTTAATGGAATGTGTCAGGACAGATGTTGATTTTTTTTCAAACACATGATGGGAGGTGTGAAAGTTTGTGAAACCTCTCTAATGAATTATGTAATTAGAACATAACAGTTTTACAAATTTTCACACCTCCCATCATGTTCTTGCCACACTACGTGGTAGAGGTGCACCGAAATGGAAATTTAAAAACTGAAACGAAACCGAAATAAAGAAATGTCAGGCCGAAACCGATACGGAAAATGTTTTTTATTTTTTCAATATTTTATTTTTATTTATTTTTTATAAACTTTTAATTTTTTTTTGATTTATTAATACCGGACTGTGATAGGCGGCAGAGCGGTGTGGGAGGAGACGCCGGCCGCTCACAGCGCTCTCCACCGCAGCGCTCGGCCGGCTGTCACTTTCTCTTCTCCCCACTGGGACATAGAGCAGCGCCCAGCGGGGAGGAAAGAAATCACGGATGTGCCGATGTATCGGCAGAAAAATTGCACTTTCGGCATTATGCCAAAAGTGCAATTTTTGGCCGATATGTTTCGGCGGCCGATATATTGGTGCATCCCTACTACGTGGTGATTATATTAGGGTGACTGAGTTACCCATGGGACTATAAATGCTGGGGTATGTTTTGTTTCTGACACTCATTAGATCTCAAGAAACTACTTGGATGAGTGGCAAAATGTCTTCAGCATTAAAAAACTAGTCCAATTTAATGTGATTAATTCTTGCTAACTATTGGCCAATTATTTGCTCTTTTCTCCTTCATAGGCCTGAATAATGAATCACTCAACAATAGCCAATTTAGGAAATTCCTGAGTTGTTTTTACATTTAACTATTTCTTGTGAGATTACTGTCATCTACCATTGCTACACATTATCTTAGAGTAGCAAAAAGAGCCTCCAAGATTCAAAATTTGCGATGCATCTCTGACCTTAGTTTGTATCTTTATAGAATCAGTGAAAGCTGCATTATGCCCGCAATTCAAAAGCCTGCAACAAGGAAGGATATATTATGTCTTTTCTGCAATTAAAGCTTCTTAACTTCCTGTTCACAAGATTAGAATGTTTACAAATTTAGAATGTACAATGAGCTGAGTATGCTCAGCTCAGTGTACATCTTTCAAACGGCCCACTGCAGAGATATATTAATTCCCATACGCATGTGCATGAGTTATGTCACCCAGGCCCAGTCCGAATCCGGAAATATCTGGGAAGAAGTTGTCAGCACTGGCGAGGAAGTTTGCAGACATTACATTGCTGGGTAGGGTGTTGGTTAGTATTGGACAGTTTAGTTCAGCTTAAAGATAAGATGGCTTCTGTTGTTTGACGGTCGCTTCATGCTTTGAAACTTTATAAAATTCTGCTTGTCTTCAGCCCCAACAAAATCAGTTGCACAACAGAGTAACCTATACAGACAGAATAGGAACTCCCTGAGGAAAAAGTTTATTGTCTATGTAAGATTCAAATGAGTTATCACACACAGCTGCCTCTCTTATCAGTTTATAGTTTCAGCTTGGAGGCATTCTCATAGTCATATTTAGGGATGACTAATACATTAGCCATGTATGCGACTTCAAATTCATTCTGACGGTGATGAGGGAAATTCCCCTACAAGTAATTTTCACAAATGGAATGGCCTTCTCTGAATGACAATAACTTTATGATGAGTCACAACATATTTCTAATAATTGCTTATATGGCAGAGATGACTAAACTGTGGCATTTCATTTGCCAAAACACTCTTGATCTCAAAACTGCTTAAAGGAAACCTCTCATAAGAGAAATGCATAGGCTTCCATTGCTCACCTCCTTCTAAAATGGTAGGTGCCTTGCTGCCATGCTGAATCTCTGATTAAGAGATGATACTTTGAGTAAGTCACAGACCTGGATATTGGTTTCAGGTCAGGGATCCAAAGTAAACATACCACATGCCGTTAGAGGTGAGACTAGGTTCCACACTCCACAGTTACATCTCGGTTGCCTCATCTCCAGTGAAACTATCAATTGTGCCAGCAACAAGAACACCACACACCAAGATGCAATACAATATTCTTCTTATTAAAAAAGCCAGCAGGAAGAAGTTCTATTTTGAAGTGCAAGTTGCTCATATTTTTCATGCTCTCTCACAGCTCTGTGTATAGCATAAAATGCGTCAGTTTAGAACTTGTTCCTGCAGGTTGTTTAAATAAAGGAAGAATGTTATTTTGCATCTTAATGTGCTTGTTACCTGTTGCTGATACAATTCAGTGACTGAAGTCATTATAACAATTAAACCAGCGTAACAGGCAGGCAAACTGAACTTTCAAAAGGTGGCCACAGGTTTCTCTCATGTTGTAGACGTTAAAGTCAATCCTGAACATTCTCACTTTTAATGAATGAACAGGGCATTTCTTAGAATTAAAAAATCACAAATCACAGTTTTATTTTGGGAAGAAAGGTACCTTTTGTTTGCCATGAATAATAACTGCTACTCTCCAACTCACCATGTAGGAATGAAGATCAAGTGGTTTCTGGCTACACATCATTCAGGACTGCAGAATCTATTCCCCCAACCCTTTCTTGATGATTTGCTACTGTACGTCATCAAGAAATAGTAGGAGGAATCGATTCTGCATTCCTGAATGATGTGTATCCAGAGACCATGTGATCTCCCTTGTCTTAAGTGGTTTAGTAAGCCAGAAAGGAAGGTCTTAATCTGTATTTCTCTAAATGTCTTAAAAGTCCATCCTATTTGTGGTCGGCTTCCTCTTTGCTTGGCTCTGCTATTGCAGTGTTGGGTGAACAGATAAGGGGTGTCTAATGTGTAAGAGTGAAAAATGTGAGGGCTGGCCCACCTCTATAGGTCCAGTATTGTTTACTGAGCCCGCTTATCACAAATGCACACCATTAGTGAGGCATGAGAGGTATTTCCAAGCATTAAAGGGTGTCTGCCTTACATTTGTGCTGTAGGTTTACATGTTTTAGTGTATGGAGAGGGGCGATTTAAACTTTAACACCAATGTCTTCTGTAGTTTGACAAATCTTTAATAATGTGTCCATTGGTAAATTATAAATGTTTTCTGGTGTCCAAATTGTCCACCTATAGTGATTTACATGTAAATATTAGATGGTGTATACTCATATACACAAAAATGTTGCTTAAACTCTTAAAGTGACACTAAACTCACAAGTTAAATCTTGAAAATGCATTCAAGTACCTTAACTATTAACAAAAATTTAGCTTATTTGTGTATCTCTAGGCTGTAGATCCTCAAATCATCTCTAAATTCATGCTGATGCTGCGTTTCCTTCTGGAGGGGGGTTACTTTTGTTCCATATGGTCCCTGTGTGTGTTGTAATGTAGTCACCGCTCCAAGCTCACTCCCGTGATGGACTACAATCTCAATACAAACTAGTAAACTAAATGGGAGATTGTAGTCCATCACGGGAGTGAGCTTGGAGCGGTGACTACATTACAACACACACAGGGACCATATGGAACAAAAGTAACCACC